GCCCGTAACTATACATGGTTAAACTGTAACTATTCTCTCCCTTCAGGTCATCACTTTCAGTGCTGCTGCGACTTTTATATTGCTCCCTGGAGGCCCTGTATGTGGATTTAAGCATGCGTCCTAACATTACAGAAAGAGCAAACATCAACTTCTGCTTCAAAAAGACAGCCCATGACACTATGAATGCACTAAGATGTCTAACCACCTGCTCCTCTCACTAGATTTGACTTCCAGCAACTTCATCATTCCCCCAAATGAGGTTCAAGTTTGAGGTTCATGTTTCTGACACTTCTTTAGAGGTAAGAACAGGACCTCCATGGAGTGATGGCGAAAAAAACAAAAGAAAAAACACCTAAGCTGGAAGTGGTGCAGCACTACCTCAGGTACAACCAGGTATGGTGTTAAATTTTTATGGGCAAAGGCACAAAACTTTATCATCCCACCTTATAGATATGCCAGTTTGTGTGTTTTGTACAGATAGATACTGTAAAGGGTTTATGTCGAGCACACGTATTGATAAAAGCTTTACGTGATCATTTAAAAGAAGGCTGTATACATCCCGGTGGAGCTCGTGTGCTTGTAGATTAAATAGTCAAACCAGGAGCATGTGTGTCTTTGTTGTCTATTAAAATGCACAAAATTATTACAAGTTTTCCAGCAACAGCAACAAAACAAATTATTCACTATCTCAATGAGGTGCATTTTGAAAAATGTTAATATTATTGCTAATGATAATACTGACTGAGTGAAGACAGCTGAAACACAGTCATAGATGACTGTGCTTGAAGCACTATTGTACAGCCCACACACATAAACATGAGCCAACACTGCTGCGATCACTTGGGAGCCGCGCCGATCAATAAGTAAATGATGAACTGCAAACCTGCTTGAGGATTATGGTATATTTACCGCTGACATTACCCCAAGAATACCTTGTTCAAGTGCCACTGGCAATAAGGTACAGATGGCTGCTGTGGTATACCTTTAAAAACAATATTGTGACAGGGCAGCTGCAGTATGGGTCACTGGTTCTGTGATTCTGCTTCGATCTACAACAGATGGGCCCTGCAGCAGTGTTGGAAATCCCCTGGTATCCCCACAAAAAACAACGCTGAACCCTCTGCCTCCATTTTACATCCAGGAACTGTGTTTATTTGAATAACTCCTCCAAACCCATTATCTAATGACATGACTCAATGAGTCACTATCCCCCAGACACTGCTGAGGGAGAAACATTGGATTTTTGGCAGGGAGCGGCTTGAAAGCGGTGCAAAAAGCAGTTTAAAAATGAATTCCAGTGGCACAGAATATTGGAATGCTTACAGCACATCAGTCTATAGGGAGCATATATGACTCCGTGAGAATTACCTTGACATACTTATTAACTGCCAAGGCTTGTTTCAACAGTAAAGTCAACAGATTTTCATAAAGCTAAACTAGTGCATTTCAGCACAAATGTGTTATGCTCATCAGACCCTGACCACGCCCGGCTGGAATTTACCTTGAACTCGCCAGAGAGCGTAGCTGTTCGGCACAACCCTCCGGGGACCCATAAACAAGCAGATGTGTCTGAGGGAGAGCCTGATGACGAAAGAAGATTAGGAAAATGGATTAAATGTGGCTAAGATCAGTATTTGCCATTCATCATTACTGTGCGCTTTAGCATGTGTGTTTACATTAGGGTGAAAGTGAGTTGTTTTTTTTTTTTAACTCCAAGGAAATACAACCTTTAAAAAGTTCATAAAAAGTGTGAAAGGTATGAGGCAAACTGAAGTACTTTAAATTTAAAAAAATTGCTAAATATCAACTCTTTATTCCAACGTGTTAAATAAGAGTTGATTACTGTGTTTCTTCTGATAAGGACAGTCTTGACTCATCAGTGAAGAAGAGCAATAACAAGAAGAAGCTCAGGCATGCGGTAGATTTAATAACATCTCTCAAAACCAAAATGAATTTAATCAGAAATGTTTATTTCAAGGATGTGAATTCAGTGTGAAGAAGTTGGAGTGTCAGCGTTGCCAGATTCCACTCAGCTGGCTTACTTAGTGAGGTAAAAACATTGTGGCTACTACTACTTTTTGTAGGCTTCACACTGTTCTTATTAAGACATCAAATAATGTGCAAGTGACTCTGTTCTTGGGGACACTTTAATAGTTTAGAGGTGCTGACTGGGGTATTAAGGTTTCAGATCACTGGGCAAGGGTATCAACCAGAAACAATTTGAAATACCAAAGGGTGCACAGCCTGTTTTAGATGACACACAAAAACTAATATGGGTCAGTGCACCTCATTTTAACAGGGATTGGTTGATGTTTGTGGACAGCCAAACACCAAAGGATGGTTCCCATCACAATTGCCATCTGTTAAACATGGAGGAACTGCAGTGTTTTTGCAGGCATCAGGTTCAGTGATTGCTCTGCAGGGTCACATAACAACATAGCAATATGAGTCCATTTTATGAGACCAGATGCACGCCATGGAGCTATCACAGTTTGTCCATGAGGTTCGTCATATTCTCACATGATAATGGTGCCACACCTACTCTTCAGCAAGTGCGGCTTAATTTCAATCACCTTACACTCCTCTGAAAGCTCTATGTCTATGGTTTCCTAATCCCTGCAAAAAACAAGGGGCCCCAGAAACAGTTTAGGCCAGGTGCAAATGCAGAGTACTGTTGCTAAAGTCTTGATGCACTCTTCATTTTGTTAAGTTTATATTTGGTGACGACCCCCTTTATACTTCAATGCAGCCTGAACTCTCTTTGTCAAGCTTTCTCGTAATTTCTTTAAGCCTCTTCGGGAATAGTTCTCCAGGTTTCTTGAAGGACATTCAAAGCTCTTCTTCTTTTGTTCTGTTCTCTGTCAAGATGATCCAACACTACTTTAATAATGCTGAGGTCAGGCATATGGGGAGGCCAATCCACAAATGATAGTGTTCAATTGTATTTTTTTCTAAATTTGACACTTCTTCTTTGGCCTTCCACTTGTGTGTCCTTCCCCAAAGGACAAGCTTTTCTCTGTACAGAGATGTGTCAGGTTTTTAGCAAACGGCTCTTTGGCAATCATCTTGTTGGTGCAAAACTATTACTTTATGAATGTCAAAGCCTGAAGATACAATTTAAAATTGGTTCTGTGCTAAGTTGTCTGTTCTCTGTAGGCATAACACTGATTCATCTCTTGAGTTTGATGCACTTTTATGCTTGGAATTAATGGGTCAGTGTCTTTTGGAATACCTTCAGAAAGCCTGGAGAATTACTGCACCAGGCTAACTACAATGAAGCAAAATAAAAGGAATGAGAGGTGGTTCATTACTTTTGCACTGTGGTATGTTAGTGAGCTTAAATAGTTTTTTCAGGCATTTGAATAGAGAAAAAAAAACACCCATTTGTTTGTTTGTTTGTTTCTTTCTCCTGAGTTCAGTGGAGTAAGATTGAAAAAATATGAAGGGATAAAACAAAGAAGTCCTACACGTTGTGTGAACATGGCACCTTGACCTCCCAAGAACAAAACTACTACCGCAAGTCCTGAGATTAGTCATTTTCAGTGGGAAGAAGGGCAGTACATGTTACAATCGATGAAAATGTCATCAGGGACAAACCTATTTTCCTCAGCTCCATTGTAGATAAACATTGTCCAATCCTGACTGTCAATCTCTCTCTGCTTTCAAATTGAGGGACCACCCCACCTCCACTTCAACTCCACAAACACACCCCCACACAAAAATCCCACTGTAGATTTCATCTGAACTGAAACACGCACACAAACACACAAAAGAAAAAAAAAGAAACAAGAAAGGTGTACCTGCTACTGATGGGGTTTGTGTCAGATATGGATTTGTCAAATGCTGATGAATTACATGCTTTGAAATGGTAACCTCCATCAATCTTCTCAGCTCACATGCCAAAACACACAAAATCAATAACACAAAACTCCGACGCACACATCAGAAAGATGCTGACAGAAATAGATATAAAGGGAGAGTGAGATATGGTTTATAATTCCTGCCTCGCACCAAATAGCAACCTATCTTATAATAACTGTCATCAGCGATAGAGTTTTGACCCAACCTCCTACCCGTCCTGTTCCCAAAGAGCAACTGGCATATTAGCGAATGATTTCAGATCTCTGAAACATACAAACAACATGACATTTGGTGCCAAATGAAAATTGACGCTTGGCGCATAGTGCTAGAGCTACTTATTGAAGAAATGCATGATTAGCATTCAGTGGTGAATAGAAATAAAGTACTGCTGGTAATGGGGTGTGTAAAATAGAAGCACTTCTCCAGTTCTTTGGTCAACGGCTGCTGTTGGTTAAGGTTTGTTAACTTCTAAGCTTTACGAAGCTTTGGTCCTGCAGAGCTGATTACAAGAAACCTCTCCACAAAGATGCCTTTTTTTATCTTCTGTATCAGATTAAAATGAAGAAGTTTCTCCTTCAAGTGCTGCTGATGAAAAAGGCAAAAAGTTGAGCCTGTCAGTCAAATTACTTTCAATCAAGCGAGTTTTCATAGTTTCCAATGTCAGTTTTATTGGTAATAAAACAATTTGGTGTGTGTTTGTGAGGGCAAATTATCTTGATTTATTCTCTTCTGCACTGTAACAGTGTGCATCTGTCCTCCCAGTACCACACAGTGACATAAATGTGGGGCCTCAGCTGTAGCGAGCTTCACAATGATCCTATGTATCACTCATAGTGGAGTCATGGCTCGACCAGCGCTGTGCGTGTGTGTGAGGGGAAACGAGGGACTTCAGCTGCAGATGTAGGCATAGATGTGTGTGTGTGTGTGTGCTTACAGTATGCATTATTTTCTATGTTTGCGTCCATGTTTGTGTGTAAATCAGGCAGTTGGCCATCACTGGCAGTCTTTTCGAGGATGTGCCTGAATATAGAGGGCTGTTGTTATTGGAGGGTCTGTCTCTGTACTCCACATCTAAGGGTCCATACAGACCTCCACAGGCGCTCGCTCCACAGAGTGTGTTGGCAAGACATTTAGTCCCATCACACTGAGACTCTCTTCCTCTCTAGCAACAGGGCGTCAGGGCTTTCACACCAGAGATCAGTGTCTAAGCCAAGAGGAAGAATAGGAGGAGGTAAGAGGAGTGTATGGACTGAGAAAATGATATCTGTATGAATACATGGCTGAAGAAAACATCAGAGCTTTGGAGAAAAACATAATACCATGGGAGGTAGTAAACTGGTCATTCTAACACTGTCTGCCCATTTTAGTTATTAAATTAGTTATTTGAGGCATGGTGGTTAGCACTGTGGCCGCACAGCAAGAAGGTCCTGAGTTCAATTCCACCATCAGGCTGGGGTCTTTCTGTGTGGAGTTTGCATGTTCTCCCCGTGTTTGCGTGGGTTCTCTCCGGGTACTCCGGCTTCCTCCCACCGTCCAAAGACATGCAGCTTGTGGGGATAGGTTAATTGGAAAATCCAAATTGCCACTAGGTGTGAATGTGAGTGTGAATGGTTGTCTGTCCCTGTGTGTTGGCCCTGTGACAGACTGGCGACCTGTCCAGGGTGTACCCCGCCTTTCGCCCTATGACAGCTGGGATAGGCTCCAGCGCCCCCCGCGACCCTGAGAAGGATAAGCGGAAGCGAATGGATGGATGGAATTAGTTATTGAATTGTCACTCACTGGATCACTGAAGCCAAAGGAAGAATAAATCGCAGTTACTGTTTATATTTGTGATACTGCGTCCTTTCACATGCAAGCTTGGAGAGCAGGAGCAAGATCCCGCAGAGAAGAGCGACATCAGCAACATCAGCATAATAGAGTATGTGAGGTGAAAGTGGGTTGCAAAGCGACTTGCAGATGCATGTCACATGCAGGCGGGGGTAAAGCAACTTAAATTGTGTTTCTCAAAGGGATTCTGTCAGGACAAGCATGGAAATCAGTGTTTTCCTCTAAAAACAGACAAACATTTAAATGTACCAAAGTAAAGTAATCTCTCTCCTTTCATCTTAGACAGCACTGTCATAAAGACCTGTTTGCATCCATCCTTTACATTACTGCCATCTTGTGGCTGCAGTCTGTTATGTTTATTGAAAGGTCTGCTTGTTTTGTGCCCATAGGAAAGTGTAGCCGTCTCTGTTTAATATGTGTGCCCATCTCCTGTTAACAATGACAAGCTAAGACGCCAGCAGCCTTTTTTTTGGTGGTTTGTGAATGTGCATTGTGGATAAGCCTGTGGTGTTTGACAGTGAATGTATAGGATAAGTCTTTGTTTTCTGAGCATGAATTAAAAGACTGAAGAAGAATGTGTGAGTTTTTAATCTTCCATCCATCCATCTACCCATCCATCTTCTTCTGCTTATCCAATTCAGGATTACTAGGAGGGTTGGAGCTTATTTCAATTGGCGAGAGGCAGTGTACAACCTCGCCAGTCCATCACAGGGTAAACACATGGAGACAAACAACTATTCATGCTCACATTCACGCCTATGCTCAATTTAAAATCACTGATTAAATTAACCCCATTCATGTCTTTGGATTGGGGGATGGAGTCCCATGTAGACACAAAGAAATTATGCAAATTCCACACAGAAAGACCCAAGACTGGATATGAACCTAGGATCTTCTTTCTGTGAGGCAAAAGAGCTAAACACTTTCAGAGCTCCATAGATGTGATCCGGACTGAAAATCCCCTGAAAATGTGGACGCAAATAACAATAACAATCACCATGTCAATCTATACACTTTAAAACTTAACCGAACAATGCTTTACCTAGCACTAAGACACAACATTACACTGTAAAAAGAATAACCCTATTCAAATTAAAAAAAATGATGTCCAATTGTCACATCCAAAATATTTGACTTCATAGAATCCAAAATGAGTCACTTGATATGACCTGATACTTTTATGTTGATATAAACAATATTACTAGACTTAACTGAAACTTTAAATTTTGCATTGATCCAAATTGATTTTTTTACATAGAACCATATTTTAATTATTGAACCAAGCTAATATATTGAAATTTAACCAACCTAATGTATTCACATCGAACCAAATTAACATGAACTAATATGTTTGCGTTGAAGCCAGGTAATTGATTTACATATATTCAAACTATATTTTTTACATTTCATTTTATTTCAGTTCAAAAATGCTCTGCATTTCCTATAAAAAAGACAGTTGGCCAACCAATTATTTCTAAATTGTTTATTGTTCCAAACCATTTTAACTATAATCAATAGAGAGGATTAGTAATATACAGATTTAGTGCTACGGCAGAAATGATTAGAGAAATGTTTGTTTTATAAAACCTGCAACCTTTTGAAAACCAGTATAAAACCTGCAATCTTTTTAGAACTGGTATAAAACCTGCAACCTGTCTAAAACTGCAACCTGTGTAAAACTGGCATAAAACCATTATAAAAACTCTTTTTAAACCAATTTGCCAGTACTCAAAAATGTTTATATGTGCACTGTGCCTGTACAATGTAAAAAAAAAAAAAATCTACACATGTATCAATGAAATCAACTTAAATCTCCCTTTCAAATGGGTGTTCTTATAATTTTTGAATGTAGAATATCACTGCAGGCCAACCAAGAAAAATAACCAAGCACACATGCACATACACATGCATGTGCACATACACATGCACACATGCATGCAAATGCGAATCTTAGAGGTCATCTTGTTAAAGTCAAGCTCCATCATAATCTTTTGAAGAGCCTCAAAGGTGAACCTGAATCCTCGTGGATATTCCATATTAAGAGCATAACAGAGTCCAAAGACCTTTGCCACTCCAGCTGCCACAGAAGGCAACTCATTCAGGACTTCCACACCATCAATGATTATCCCGATGTCTCGAGGCTGATGTAGGAGGCTTGAGTTGTCCCTGAAGACGAAGAGTGCCATGGTGGTACTCTGCAGCTCTTCCTCAGCTTCATCTTTCTGGGATATCTTGAGGTAAAATATGGAACAAAATGTACAAGTGAAGAACTGAAGTCTGGCACACCTGATAAATCTTTGACCATAATAACTACTATTTTGATAGTTGTTTGGTCACAGACTATTAGAACAATTATTTGACTAATCAGATTGTGAATTGCATAATCATTAAATTAAATCAATGGCGGAACATTTTCATAAATGTTCCACAAAGCCCAAGAAAAAAAAGAAAACAATACAGAACCCTAAGATATTAACTTGATGAGTTGATTAATCATTGCTGTCCTACATTAATCACTGCATTTAATAGCAGAGTTGTCAAATTTACATCAAGAGACTGCATCTCATGTAGAGACAGAACAGATATGGACATACCGTGTATTCTTTTATCAAGTCCTCAACACGTTCTCCAAGGTAGATAATGAGAGATTTAAGTATACACTCCCTCCTAATGTCAGCATCAGCATCCTGCAGGAACAGTTAAAATTGTTACTATGCAATATGGAGAGTATGCTGCGTGAGAGGAATTTTTTTTCACCTCTCTATCCTCATGAGGTGACTAATGCCCCTTTTCCACCGACAAATCGGCACGGTGCGCTTGAGAGCAGTTCAGTTTAGCGCGGATGAACTCGCTTGTTGTGGTGGAAACATAAAGCAGACGTAACTGGGAACAGGGGTGAACCCATCTGGCTATGAAAAGTCGTGTGCAAAAGTCTTTGTCCGCAACGTCACAGCCCGAAGAACAACAACAATCGCAATATATGTGTGTTTTTGTACTTTGCTCCGTCTGTGGTTCATTTTGATTGGTTTGATTTTTGGTTCTTGTGGAGGAAGTGGCCATGGTCCAAAGTCAATGGAGTATGGTTGCTGGGAGTTTTTTTTTTAAAGCCTTTTGTGGGAGCGCTTCTATATCACATCACGTGGGCACCACACACACCCGGGCCAATCAGGTGTAAAGGCGGTGGAAAAGCGTCCGCAGGGGGCTAAAGCGAACTGAGCCACACAGTGTTCTGTCGGTGTAAAAGCGGCATATGCTTTCTTGTCCCTAAATAAAAGTTTATACGTATATATGTATGTATGTGTATCTGGCGAGTGAGAGTGAAAATGTGTCTCCAAAATAAATTTTGTTGTAGTTGTGCTCTGTACTTGTATAATGACAATAAATCTCTTCATTCATTCAAGAACAAAGCCCACACTTCCTTTCAACATTTTAAAAGGTCACAGCCATAATCACTGACGTTACCAAAATAAAACTGTAACAGGATACAAATTCTCATTAGATACAGCGGTTAAAATGCTAACTGTCATGTTAATAGTTAATTATATACACCCTACCTGATCAAGAAACTCTAGGATTATGGCAGTTTTTGCTTTGGTTGTCCCTCCTTTCTTTCTGATTATTTTAAGTAGCTGTGGGGAGTGCTTGTCCAGCTGGACCATGAATCTGGTTAGCAGGGGAACTGCAGTAACCCGCAGAAACTCTGCATTAATCTGTACATGAGTAGACAGTGTACAATACATTTTTTTAAAGACCAACTTCCAACAAGAAAAAGTCAAAACATAATTCCAATTTCCAAACTATGATAAAAGGCATTAGTATAAAAAGTTAAAGTTATACCTCTTCCATCTGAAATAGACCTGGCCATCTTTCCAAGAGGTTCTTGATGTCAGGCTTCTTATCCACAACCTCTTTCCTCCTGAATTCGAAGGTCCTCGCCATCAACACACAGATATTTATATGAAGAGAGACAGAGACAAACGTGCGCGCACAAACACAAGCTTGTGTCTAGAAACCGCGAGCTCACCAGAAAAATTCAAACGAAGCGGAGCACGGAGTTATACTATGAATGTTATGAACTATGAACTTATGCTAGCTAGCTGTATCCACCACCGATGCATCGTGGTAACGCTAGGTAGTTAGTTAGTATACTGGTAAAAAACGGCTTTTTGCCTAACTTGCATTCCCGACTGTGATGGTCGGTTGCTGGTAACCAGTTCTACCGTCGCGCCGGATAGCTAGCTAGCTTGTAGCTAGCAGCTACAATCATGCAAAAATTGGGGTGGCTGTCGACCCAGCTTAAATAGGGTTATTTTCTGTATCTTTTGTAACACACTTGGCTTTACTTACGTTTATTTTCAGATGAAATTAATCAAAGATGTGACATGATGTTTCCAGCAGCCATGCAGAATAAAAATTGGTCCCGGTCTATTTCTGGTGGGCGTGTTCAAGTGCAAATCACTTTGACTCAAATTAAAGATATTATCTGTTCAACATGAAAAGAAATATATGTTTTGAGAGAAATCAAAAACTTTGCGTTGTGTCCTTTGTACAGATATTTAGTTTCATCCAAATCAAAAGTGGTATTTTAAAATGCAAAAAGAAAGGGTTTCACAATCAAATCAATGATTTTATTCTGTTTTGAATGGCACTTATTAGATTGAATGAATGACTGCATGTTAGACTTTTTTCAGTGTAGCTTGCAAAATGTTTTTGGAAAAAGGAATAAAAAAACAGTTTGAAGAGTGTGGGGTGACCGCTGGTGAATCAGCACTTATTTTATTAGCTCCTGCATCTGTTTTCCCCTTTCCACTCTGTTGGTATGAGTCGCAGGCTGACTCAATTGAAGAAAAGGACACTGAGTAATATTGGAAAGTAAACAATAAGTCACAGAACTCAGTAAATCAAAACCTGCAGTACGTGTTTTCAGTTAATCTTCCACTCAGCTCAAGTAATGTTCATCAGAGAGATGAAATCACAAAAGTTTAGTTATTCTTAGCGGCCTGTGATCGCTTCCAATTGTGTGGCTCAGTCAGATGAAGAGTCAGAGCTACTCCTTTCATCACTTCTTGCTAGTCTGTGGGTGCAAAAGACCAAGTGCTTTTATAAAACAAGTATTTGATGATTAGAGTAGTTTTGGTTGAAAATTTATTAAATAAAAGAACTTTGAATTACAATCTGGAAAAGAAGCAGCTCTGCAAAAGGCATTATTTAAACATTCAAAGCGTCACATAACAGTGCCCTGTAGGTCATCTGGCCAGGGAGGATATGCAGGAAAGTTTTAGAATATTAACAATGGCAGACACTTGGCTCCTTAATTTGTAAGCTTGTAAGCAAGTTAGCTTACCAGACCTCATAGAGAAAAAAAAAAAGAAAAATTCTCTCTCCGGCCAGATTTTTAATTAAGAAGCGAGCCAGAGGGGTTATTGTTTTCACCGCGTGGCTGAAAATAAGTTGAAACTTTTCCATGTTCCCTTCATTATCCCAGCCCTGTGAACCTGTTTGTAAATTAATCTGGAACATTTTTCCCATTTTTGTTCTAATTTATAGCGTCAGATTGAATTGACCAATGTGCCCATATGATTTGGCACACGAGGTTCGAGTTCCCCTGCTGTGTGATGAAAGTGCAGAATGATCCAGGAATCTGGATCCAGGAATGGTCTCTAAACACATTACTTATTACCAGCGATATTTCTCAAAGTAATTATGATTGGCACCAAGATTAAGAAATATGAAAATATAAACAAATATGGTGCAAAAACATCAGCCTGCAAAGAGTGTCAGATGAATCTGGGACAAATCAGACACATCCCAGCTGGCACAGATAAAAAATTTATGTACCTTAAAACTATGCAAAGCACTTTATGTCAATCAATATACAGTAAGTAAATTTTAATCCCAAAAGTTAAAAATAGTGTGTGATGTTGTAACATCCTTACATTGGTGGCCTATCTATCTATCTATCTATCTATCTATCTATCTATCTATCTATCTATCTATCTATCTATCTATCTATCTATCTATCTATCTATCTATCTATCTATCTATCTATCTATCTATCTATCTATCTATCTATCTATCTATCTGATAATCAGCAAGTGTGAGGAGCATGTTTTGCTGGTCTGGAGCATTCAGGTGTGTTAGCACAATGCCATCCCAGGAGTGGCAGTCCCAGCAAAATCACCCCAAGGTCAGACCATGCAATACTCAAAGAAACGGCAAAACACCCTAAAGAGCTATAATTCATGACAGCATAATTAGAAAAAGGCTGAACAAGTATGGCTTGTTTGGAAGGGCTCCCAATAGGATACCTCTTCTCTCTGAAAAGAACATGGCAGCACAGCTTAGGCTTGCAAAGTTACACCTGAACAAACCACAAGACTTCTGAAATAGTGTCCTTTGTACAGACAAAAGCAAAGTGGAGATGTTTGCCTATAATGCATAGGGAAAATTAATCACAGTACATCATTATAGACACCTCATACAAACTCTCAAGTGCAGTGGCGGAGGGATAGTGATTTGGGCTTGTTTTGCAGCCATGGGATCTAAACAGTCATTGAGTCGACTATGAACTCATGTGCATATCAAAGTACTCTATAGTAAAATGTTAGGCCATCTGTCTGACAGCTAAAGCTTGGTCCAATTTGGGTCATACAGGAGGACAATGATCATGAGCACAACAGTACATCTACAAAAGAATGGCTGAAAAAGAAAAGAATCAAAGTCCAGACCTCAGCCTGATTGAAATGCTGTGCTGGGATCTCAGCAGACAAACAAATGTCTGCAAACCTCAATGAGCTGAAGCAATGTTGTAGAGAAAAGTGGACTAAAATGTAAGCCTGTTTCACTACAGCATAATATTCACTTTATATTTTATAATTGCCCAATTTACATTAAAACAGATTATTAAACAGGGTATGTATTCAGTATTCAGTGCATGGCTAACCTATGAATGACAAGTCATTACCATATAGGTCTGTAAAGAGTCCAACCAGTTCTCAGTCACAGCCACTCCTCACTTTAAGTTTAAAAAAAGAAAGAAAAAAAAAACAGACTGCCAATGTGAATCACAGTATGCTTCAAAACAGATGCCCATAAACCAACTAGTGAGCTTACAGTGACCATGCCCATTTTTTATGTACAGTGTACAGGCCTCCCAAGTCTAAATCAGCAAAGCTGGGCCCATGGAAAGAGAGAAGAGTAACACTGGTTACGTTCCCCTCTTTTCTGAACACAGAAATATACAGGAGTGCTGCCAAAATCACAGTAGATATTGATATAATGTGACTGAACTGTAACATATAGTCAATTAATTGTCAGTGTTAGCAAGCTAAGCCAAAGAGCTTCCGCTATCTGGGTGAAATACAAGCTTATCAGCACAATGGACCTCCAGAATGCTGAACAGTGAAACATAACCATGCCGGGTGTTCTGCAGTGTTATGATGTTCACAGTGCACCAAAGAAGCTGACGGTGTGTCTTTGAAGAAGCCATCTTTCAGATTCCTGTCAAGAAATGCCACAGAAGGTGTTGTGCCGTTTTCATTTTTTTCAAAGTTAAAGCTCACCCAACATGGCATAGATGCAGACTGGTCTGGGCCTTGCTGGCATGTGCTTTGTGGTCGTGCTCTAATTTCCGTATGCATCGGGAGTTCTACCTTTAAAGCGTGGTTGAAATGACTATTCAACCAGATCCACTTGTGAGAATGACAAGAATATCTCTGGAATCAAGCTCAAAATAACAAATGTTTTTCACTCTATTAGCACAGAGATTGATTCTCCCAAGTTGGAAGAACCTTCACCTGCTGAATTGGACTCGGCGGCTGAATGAGAATTAGGTAATGCAACCTTGAACTCATCAAACATGATAAAAGTGTATGTGGCTTCTCTGAAAGACTGGAAAACCTTTAAGAGAAACTGAGAAACTGATTTAATAATCAGTATTCTGAATGATATATAACCTGGATTTAATAAGATCTATTAACTGTATTGCCTGATTTAGGAACTCATTGCAATAGGACTAAAGAATATCGTCCAGCTTGGTAAAATATAGCTTTTTGTGCTGTGTGTTTTGTGTGAAGCCTCATTGCTGCCAAAAAATTTTTTTTTTCAGGATGGCAACATTTGCTCAGTATTACAGTTTTTCACTTTAGTGAAATCTCTCAGTTTGTCATTCTGATCTCTTGTAAATCAAGTTTTTTTATCTTTGTAATTTTATATTTCTGCAAAATCTTTCTTCAGACACAACTTGATTTACCTTTTATGATACTATCAAAGTGCTGCAGGGAGAAACAGTTAAATTTCCTTTTTGTAAGCTCCACCCCACCAGCTCTCGACTCACCTCTAGCCTCCTTTGACCATCTCTTCTCATTAAATGCTCGTCCCCATTTTACTGACAGTTTGTCGTGCACTTGTTAAAACAAGATCTCCCGCTGCTTGAACGAGGTTTACCGGTGTGATGCAACATTGTTTCAAAACACTAATCATCAGGTTCAATTGATTAGCACATTAATCAGAGGAGATAATTGGACCTGCACATGAATGCTAATAAACGTCTGGTTTGACAGACGCAGAAATCTCTTATTAGACTCTGCTGTACATCGTCATTACCCACAAGCTACCTTTCCCCATGTGAAAGTGCGAATATATAATCTCTTGCATTTCTCGGATAGATTAAGTTCCTCATAATTAAGCTTTAATTGGAAGTATATCACTGAGAATTAGACAATTAGGAGTAGGAGTAAGTGGTGCAAACGTAACCTTAGTTAATATGAAACTGGAGTTCAAGGGTAGGGAAAGGTGTGTGTGATTGTTTTATTTCTTTTTTTAGTTTGGTTTGTGTCAGCATTTTCTCCAGCTGGCTTTACTTGGGCACTTAGCGACATCATTAGCAAGAGATTTGGACAGTGTCTGACCTTTTCACCCCTTAGCAAACACATCCTGAATCATTTTCTGCAGACTACCAAGTTTGGTTAGTCCCCTGTGGTATTCGACAACTTCATTAGTAAGGTGATGTGACAGCACAGCAATTGGGTTTTTCCAAGATGTTGTTTACAAAAAAATATGTCTTTATATGGAGAAAGTAGCTTTCAGCGTTTGTGGGTAAGTATAGTAATATAGTGTAGTGTAGTCAAAGGAGCTTGCAAAGAAAAGCGTCTGGACTTCTTTAAGTTACTTGAAGACGTTCCACCTCTCATCCGAGAAGCTTCTTCAGTTCTAAGGGCAAATGGTGGAGAGTCCCAGATATAAACCTAGTGGGAGTAACCCCCCACAGAGGGACAAAAGAACCCCCTGATGATCCTCTAATCTGAGCCAAGGTGTGAAACTGGGTAAGAGAAGTCCAGACGCTTTTCTTTGCAAGCTCCTTTGACTACGATGACCTGGATGACTGAGAACCTTCACAGACATAGTGTAGTGTA